GTCTTTATTTGAAGGGTAGCTCAGGTTTTGTAGCATAACAGCGGAGGGAACAATAGTTACATCCAGCCGCTGCTAACCATCAGGAGCTCGTGGAGAACACCCAGAGGAGCAAAGAGCATGTGTGTGGTGGATGTGGCCACTAATTTGTTCCACATGTGAAGCTGAACAAATGTGTTGAGGAAATAATGTCACTGTGCTGACTCCAGAGCCATGGATGCAAGCGGGGTGTGAGGGCTTTCCCTCAGTGCTCAGAACACAAGGAATTTGCTCTGGTTTGACTGGGAAACTGTTAGGAGAGAACCACACAGCAACAAGGCTGGGGGCTGGTGTGTCCTCAGCATGCAGAATGGAGCAGTAATATCTGGCTTCTTCTAGAGGTGATGGAGATATGGGCCTGGTTAATAGGGTCCTGCTTAAAAACTGCTTGTTCTCTGGGTCTTCCTGGAAAATACTTTTCTGCTTCCCTGGCATAAAGGCAGGAAAAGCCATTAGATGTGTCCACAATTGCTCTACCATTTCCCCAAGGTGTCCCTGGGGGGACTGGCTTTGGGCTGGTCTTACTGATGGGGATATGGTAAACCCCATCCCTGTGGTAGTGGGATGGCTATGCTGAATATGGACTGACAAAGGCATGAAACTCACAGCAGTATCCCACTTTGAAGTAATGCTTTGGAAAAGCATTGGAGCTTCTTGAGCTCATTAGGAAGGTGGTGTCTGTGTCCAGAAAAGGGATGTTACGTCCCTTTCATCCTCGTGGCAGTGAACTTCTCCATCTCACCTCTTCTGTAAGTCTCAGCTGTGGTGAGACCTTGTGAATCATTGTAGAAGTACTTCCATAAGGAAGAGTTGCACAACCCATCTCTCAGCCAGTGCATTTGCTTCCCAGTTATCCCACTCATGTTTCTTGCGGGATTTACCACATTGAGGCATCACAGCCCAGGGGGATGGTGGCGATAAATGGGCAGATGATGAGGGCAAGTTTGCTTGAAAAATACAAACCAAAAAGGGTGTTCCGTCTGGTGCTTGCTGCAGGTCAGTCACGTGATCACTTGGTCCTTCTACGCCCTGGGCACGTGCTGTGGTCAGCCCATCATCTGTGAACAAGAAATGTGCCTCAAGGGGAAGGTGGCCTTCTTGTATGCCCAAACAGCAGGAGGTACACCAGGATGGGCAAGCCTTCAAAAAGCCTGGTCAGGAAGAGTAAGCATCACAGGTCCTTGCTGCTATCTGGTAGGAAGAACCTGCAGGTCTCCCGTTCCTAAAGGAGCAGAGAGGAGGGATCCACTGTAAAAGCCCACCCTTAAATATGACTGCCTGATCTTCAAGCAACTTTTTGTCTTGTACTTTGCCTTGATCTGGGAATAAACTCTCTTTTGTCTATATGTCATTGAGTAACAATGAGTTACCAGTCTTCCTGAACACCAGACACACTCTTGTTTTGGCCTTTGGCCCTGAGACCTGATATTTGCTTGTATTTACAAGCCCAGTAATTACTGTCTTGAACCTGTTATCAACATAAATACATACAAGGGAAATTGCAAGGTTATGGTTGAAGCTTACAGGTTTTTAGACTAACAAATATTTTAGCCTGAAGATATAATCGACTTTCTTTTCCTTTTAAGTGGCTCTGGGTAAGATGAGAAGTTGCCTGTCAGATTTGATGGGGTCAGTAAAATTCAACCATGTTCTACTGTAATTAACATTTGAAAAGAATTTGCTTAGGAATTAGCTGTTGGCACTGAAAAGCACCTCTTCATATGGAAACAGAGCGAGCCCATCAGGGTGGATACTGTCCTGTGCAGTGCAGGGAGGGAAATCCATCTAGTAACACTTGTCTTTCTGACAGTTACTTGAGGATTCATCATGGAATGCTGACTAGATCAACCACAAGTGTCATCTCTGTGTCATTTAGAAATGCAATAGTCATCCCAGCACACACTGAGTGACATTTCTACTGTGATGGGGGGCAGAAGTTTATAACGGAAAATGTCAATAGTCTGAAAGTTGAATTGTCACTGCTGTGTGTCCTGATGGAATAAACTGGTTGTCCTGCTGGAAAATCTCTCTCTAGCAGTACCAAAGTGGTGTTTGATCTCTAGCTATTGTCCTGCTGGTAAAAGCGGGAACAATTTGGATTGCAAGGGCATCTATAAATCCTCATAGTGGAACAGTTCCTTGTTGTGGCAGGGACTCATTCCTGATGTGAGTTTAGCCAGGTTTGGGCTCGGGGTAGTAAGTGATGGGCTACAGTTTGTACCAGGCCACAGTGTGACTCCATATGAGGTATCAGAGGAGCCCTGGGACATGTGTGGTCCTGGCTTATGGCAGCCACAAGCAAAGCTTTCCATGGTGTTTGCACCCTGTTGGGAGGGTGAGGCTCTGATGAGGGGCAGCTCTGCTCTTGTGTACCATGAGTCTATAAATTGCAATTGAGAAGGCTAGAGGCCACTCTGGGGGAAGAAACAGTTTCTGGTTCCTTTCTCTGCTCTCAACTCATAAAACAGGGACAATGTATTATGCTTTCTAGTGTCCTGAGATGAAAGATATGAGTGTATTGCCTACTGCAGACATGAAATAAAGAAGTCGCCAACCTTGTTGCTTTGGCCAGGTTGTTTTTCACAGCAAAGACTAGCAAAATTTCAGGTTTTGAGTGGCAGGAAAATAGCCTTTTGTCATCATCACTCAGTGACAACTACTCAGACTTTGGATTTCAAAGCATTGAGGAAGAAAAAAATGTTTCATTGAGATCACAGGGAAAATGAGGTTTCAGTTTATCAAAGGTTTGGCAGTTCGGCTCAATCTGCCAAATCCTTTCCTAATAAATAACTCGACAGGCTTTTCCAGGGAACAATAGTGTTACTTAATAGTGCTCTGTAATTAAGGCTGAAATTGTATTGATAGACACCCAAAGGCTTTTTCAGTTGGCATGTATTAGAGCTGCAGGGATGGGAGCTGGTTTCAGAAGGCGCTGGGCTTAGCAAGCAAAGATGACTTCTGATAGCTTAAGTGCTGTCTCTAAAATGTTAAAGTTGTGCCTCAGAGCTATTTTTCTTCTGTTTGTGTTGTAGCTCTGAATAAGATAGTGTGTGATTGCTGTTTGGAGGTCTAGGGGGTCTTCACGGGGTTTAATTATGCTTTAAAAAGCAAACATCAGTGAGGACTCCAAAATGTAGAGTCAAGTACTAGTAGATATAGTGGATCAGCAATGCTGCTGGTAATTAGGCTTATGAATGTGCCAGCACAGTTGTTAATGTTGGGGACAGACGACGATGTTAAAGAGCATCTGTTTTGTTGCACTGGTGGAACGTTGATCCTCTGCCCTTCTGAACTTGTCCACATGTACTAGTGGTGTTAAAAAAGTCCTGGTTGCAATCTTTTCCCTTTCTGCAGTAAGTTATGGGCTTTTTCCCCAATTTCCCTTTGTTTTTGAAATTAGGGTTGTGCCCTCTGTGCAGGCTGCAAATTCCTGGGGCTCAGCTCTGTGAGCGCAACTGCCTTGATGCATCTATAGGTGTCACAAGCAGAGTGCATGCTGCTGACTTCTTTGCTTGCAAGGATTTGAGCCCCAGTTTCACTGGGGAGCTGATCACAGTGTTAAGAGGAGTCAGAGGGTTGGGAGTCTGAATCCAGGAGGGTCTGGAGATTAGGCATGATACGCCACAATGTACCAAACCTGTCACACCTATTCAGGGCAGCCTCTGCTTGTGCAGAGTGGTGTTTGGGCAGCGCTGCTGGATGTCAGCCTGCATATGGAAAACGCTTGAGGATTTATTCCCTAACCAAGACTCCATGGGGCCAGAAAAAGGCTAAAATAATTGCAGGGATTGTCTTGTTCCTGTAGCACCCCCACGTTATTGGTGCTTTACAGACACACCATTGTTCATGGTTGGAGCTTGTATTCATCCTGGTGCCAGGCAGGCGCTGCTGGCTTCCACTGTGGGCAGTGGTGATGCTCCTTTTTAACCAAAATGCCCAAATCCTTCTTTCCTTATGTCATGGCTTGAGTGGGGTCACTGCTGGTGGTAAATGGCTAGTTTCCTCTCTGCCACATCTCCAGCACAGCCCCTCCTCTGTGGGGAAGAGCAGAAAGCAAAGTATAGCTTCCTATGTACATTCAGATGGCTGGGTCCCTTGCTAGGGTTTGGGAATATGGTCTCCTGTGGCAAAGCACCTGCTTCTGCGTGCTAATGCCTCCAAACTGTCTGCAACCCTCAGAAATGGGTTTCTGCTGCTGAGCTTGTTGGCTGACAGAGTTGGTGGGTCTTAGCTCGTGTCTTCAACAGAGGCATCCAAACAAGGTGTGCAGGAGCTGATCAAACAGGGTGCCCTGGTCCATTGGCATTTGTCTGCATGTCATGGTGGCACTCATGGTGCATTGATGACAAATCTCTTGTGAGGGACATTTCCAGCCCCGATAGAACCAAATAAACCAAATCAATTTATTCTGGTTTAGCTGATCAAGCAACCTCATCTCATGGATCTTGTCATGCTTTCTCTTCTGCATCACTCTGTCAGAGCTGTTTGGGCTTTCTGATGGCATTTCTTCAAAGTTAGTTTACCTTTGTTATTGTCTCAGGGATGTCACTCTGGGTAGCAAAGTGGACTTTTAAGTGTGGTTGCTGCTCTGCAAGGCTGATGTTGGGAAAAGCCCACCTTGGTTTTATAGGACTTCCATAGTAAGGTGGCAAGAAGACTTCCTCTCCAATGAGATGTTGCATTTGGCTTTGGGTTGCACTGACAAAGCCTGCAGATAGTCTGGATGGAAAGGAGAAGATCAGGGGGAGAAGGGTCCTTCAGGGTGGCAGGTGAAGGACCAGCCAGGGCTGGGCATGTGAGGTGTGTACAATAGACATCCATTTGGAAACTTAACTCTTTAATTTCCCCTCATCAAGTGGTTTGAAATAATAATAATAAAAGCTTTCTCATGGGGATGTGAGCTGTAATTCAGGGCAACCTCTTTCATTTTGCATTCTCTCCTGCATAAACTTACTGTCTCTTTTTCCAGAAGAAGCTGCATATGAGAGCTGTAATGAGCTGCCCTGGCAGGACTACAAAGGGCTTCAGAGGAGCAGGTACGCCGAGGATGAGGTAAGTGTTGTCATTTGGGTGAAATAGGTGTGGAAAGTGCACTCTGCACACGTTAGTCTTCAAAGCCAGCAATTATTACTGCATTTGAGACTGTATCAGCAGTCAGGGCTGCGATTCAAGTCAGGCAGGAATACTTTGTGTAGGGCTTTTGTTCTCCAGACATCTCAACTCCCCATCGGTTCGCCCTGTCGTAGCTGAGGAACGCAACTGGAAGTATTGTGGCTTTGAGTTGGCAATCATTTTCTGTGTAGCCCTGTCTTTGATGCATTCATTCAGGGTGCCCTGTGAGCCCAGGAATATGACTAGACTGTAATTGCTTTTAATCGACAAACCATGAAAAGAGAAAATGAGAAATAGGGTGGGTGGCAGCAAGACGGATCTTGCACAGTGCTGGCAGCAGAAAGGTCTGTCTGTGTGGTGGCTCCTGGCAGGTCTCAGCTCTCCAGGAGAGTTGCTCTTGGTCTCATCCCTCTTCCTTCTGCCTCTGCAGTTACTGCAGAGCCTTGGAGTTGAATTGATGTTGTGGGGCAGGTGTCTCCAAGATGATGTGTGCTTTTTATCCATAAGCGTGTGCAAAATAGTCATTTGGTGTACAGAACGAAAAAATAGCTCTCAAATGGGGATTCATAGCAGATATCAAAAAAGAGGTCAGTATGTGCTTTTTTTATAAAAGAGAAATGGGTGAAGTGACTTGTCCTGGGTCACCAGCAATCTAGGGACAAAGATAAAATATATTGATGTGCTGAGTTGGAGCTACCCAGCTCCATTATCCCCATGTACTGGTCTTTAATAACTAAATCATGACTTTCTTACACAATTGGTCCTGGTAAACATCTAGAGCAGAGAGATTTGGAAGCGATGGGGAGGTGTTCAGTAAGGGAAGCTCCTCTCTAGGCTTGGGGATGCTCAAGCGTGTCAGTGTTCCCCTGTGCCTTCAGAACAGGATGCAGCCATCTCCCTGGAGCATGTGTCCCTTCTCTTGGGGAAGGATTCCCAGAATGGTTGTGATTGTCCCTGGGGTTCAGATGTTGGCACCTCTGCTGCCACCCTCATCCCTGGCTGAGCTGCAGCCTGAGGCTGACTCCTCAGACAGCCCCAGAGCCGCAGCCTGGCTGTCTCTAATCTGGGGAATGTCCCTTGTTGTAAAATGTGGGGTCACTTTCCCTGCTGGGAACAGTTTTAAAGAGCGGAGGCCCTGGAGGAACACACAAAGGCAGCGTCAGACACTCCATCAGCCGCCATGGCCAGTTTTATTTCAGAACATAATAGCAGTGAGGGGAGACGATCTAATCTCTCTGCAGAGGCACTTGAAACTTTTGTCCCTAAAGAGCTCTTGTGCCCTGGAACAATAAATGCCATGGATGCGCTGCCAGCCTGGGCTTGCTAATTGTATTCAAACCCGTGGGCATTTCTTTCCCAGGACTGGTGGGGTCTCGGCACCTCTTTGCCACTGCCCACGGGCTGTTGGTGGCCATCCCGTCCTGGCGACGGCAGGTCTGCTGGCACGAGTGAGGGCTGTGGGGACCACAGGGGCCAATGCTTCAGCTGCACGATGACGTCTGGGCCAGAGTGTCCCACCACACAATGCAGCAGTATGGTGGAACACAGGAGGAATGTGGCCCCGGGACGCAGTGTCGCCAAAGGCAGTCGGGGTCTCGCTGGAAAGGTCAGGCAAACGAAACACAGCAGAGCTTGTCTGGTGGACAATAAGGGATGTGTTGTTGCAGGATGAATGAGCTGATCTAGTGGATGTCAAATGTTTACTCTGGGTTTCCACAGAGCGGTCAGATGAGGACTGATGCCTCTGTTCCTCCTCTGAGCAGTGATATGACTGCTGTAGGAGCATCAGGACCAATATGGTGGGGTGGCCTGAGGTGAGCTTGGGTCTTCCCATGTCTGCCACCTTCTTAGCCAAAACTAAGCCAGTAGCGCTAGCAGGGATGACAGATGTTCCCATTATCCCATTCAAACCCTCTCTCAGGCTTTGTTTAATGAATGGAAGCATCTGTCATTAATTCTGTTGTGCATCCTAATGCCCTTCAACACATCGAAGGTCCAACAGTGCTGACTGGGATGAAGAGCTGGGTGGTGGTGGTTGGGGTAGTGTCCATGCTGTCTGCATGGAGCAGTTTCCATGTTGCTTATGCGTATAAACTCCTTCTGTAAACCTGCAGGCAGAGTATGTGATGAAATCATATAGCAGTCCAGGTGGTGCTTTGAGGTGGATCTCTGAGCAGTACAGAGATATCATTAACACACTCAAATGCACAATTGGATCAATGTTTTTTTTTCTGTTTAGCTTAATCAGGCTCTGGACCAATTGGAAAAAGCTTTAATGTCAGCGTACTGTGAGAATAAAGGATAATTTCCCTGAGCTGCAGAAATAAGATGAAGGATTTCATCAGCACCCCACTGCTGCCTGTGGGATATTGGGATTAGCTGACCTCAGACACTGTTGTGTGCCTGTGATGTTTGTCTGGAGCTGCTTGTCTGCACGGGCTGCCTGTAGAAGGATGCATCCAGGGCTGTGGATGCTGCTTTCACTGGCTTGGGAAGAGAGGGTGGACACTATCTCTGGCAGCTGTATGAAATGAGAGTGCCAGTCCCATGTGGGTTGCAAAATATGGGCAGTATGGTGTTCACCATCCACAGGCACTGCAGTAATGGGGTGCAGGGACATGGTCCTTCAGCAGGGCACTTTGGAAAGAGTAGTGTGGAGCTATTAGGGCAAGTGAGGCAATACCAGGTGAGAGCAGAGCCCTGCATCCCTTCTGGAGGGGAGTCAATACCAGCAGCTCAGTGGCCAGTTGCACATGTGCAACCTGCAGGAATGAGGAGGTTTGCATCCTGGAGAGCATGACTGGTGCATCGTGTCTGCTCCTCTTGCCAATGCTACAATCCCATTTATTAGAGAGAACTTCACAGGCTTTTAATATACCTTCTTGGGTTTAATTTACAACTTGGAGAAAGATAGACAAGGTGACAAAGTGAACTGAAATCTGAAATGGCTTTAATTGCAGAGAAGGACAGTTTACAGGCTTCAGAACCCAAGTAATTTATTTTAATGATCTCTGCCCTCAATGCATAATTACCAGAGCTGGTTTCAGTGGAGGTATGCAGTGAGAGCTGGTTGGACCTGTTCAGACTGCAAAGCTTTTGGCAAGTAATATTCTGAGATGAAAAAACGAATTAAAGGCAAAATATATTGCAATGTCAGAAACGCTTCTCACTTAAGACACTGCTTTTTGCTTAGTTTCCTAGACACAGCTGTGGTCCATCTAAAAGCAGCAATCCAAGGCACGTGGCATACCTGGTTGAGTTTGTTTCCAACGCTACATGGTAAAACACTTGGAAAATCCGTAGTAGTTAACACAAGGGCCAATGGGTAATATGTCCTTTGAGGAGAGGAGATGGAAATGCTTTCTTTCTCTGCCATTCATTACACTAATTGGTTGGACATTTGGGATGGCAGCAAAAAAAGAAATGTAGACTTCAAGAGAAATGGATGTTTCTTTTTTAGCATGAATATCTGCTTTTGGCTACTCATACCTGAAGCCAGCTGGAGATTACATCCCCTGTGGAAAAGGGGCTGTCTGTGAGTGGTTCCAAGCTGCTTTCATGGCATTTCGGGTCCCACAGTGCAAAAAAAAATGTGGATGCTGTTGGAGCCTCTTATTGGGTGATTGGGCACATGAGTGTCTTGACTCTTCTGATTTAGCTGCTGTGGCTGTTTGTGTGGGTATGTTCTGTCATGGGTGGCTGCTGGAGGTGTGGTGAGACTTCATTTAGCTTCTCTTTGAAGGAGGTTGTCTTATAATTACCCAACTTGGCTCAGCTCTGCCTCCACATCTCCTCTTCTCTAGTGTCCAGGAGCTCTCCAGCTGAGCTTGGCCTGGCTAATGCAGAAGAATCTCGATGCCTTTAGAAACCTGAGTGTGATGCTGGGCTCTTCTTCTGGCAGGGTGGTAAAGGGGTAGGAAATTGGGTGTAACCTGAAGAAGCTGGAAAGCAGTGATGAGCCCAGGCTGTTGGAACTCATGCCAAAGAGTGGGCTCTGCAGCCAGGCTGATGCGCCTTCCTGCGGGGAAAGGAGGAGAAAATACCTTTTTCTTACAAGGATCATTAAGTTCCTTGGACTAGACAGTTGTGGCACAGAGCTCTCCAAGTGCAGCCTTCCTAGGGTGTTTCTGGATTGTTTTCAAACTTTTTTTTATAGTCACAGGGATGGGCTGTGGACCAAGTGATCACAGGAGGCCTTGAAGTCTCTGTTGGCTCTCTCTGCAAAGTGGTCATGAATACGTGGCAAAATGGGATCAAATCCAAAGGCACCTGGTCCCTCCCTCTGCCTGCTGGAATAGGCTGGCTGGGATTTCATGTGGCCCTTGCTGAAGTCATCAGCACCAGAGATTGTGGTTTCAGGAGTGCTGTGGGACATGAGACCCTAAAATCCACCTATCCCCTAACTTCTCAGACCATTGGCATTAGTTATGGGCTGGATGGATCCACTATGAGTGCTGGTGAACTGTTTGTATGCAGGGACACATAGCAGCTTGTTCTGCTGCTGGCAGCGGCTTGCTGTCATGGAAAGCCAGGGATTTAGAAGATAACATTTCCTAATGTTGGCATTTTGCTGAAATGTTTGAGCTTAATTGGTTATCTAAATGATTTACTGCTGGACTTGAACTGCAGCACATAGAGCTGGTGCTGGTGCAGCTCTGGGTTCAGAGCCACTGGTGATCTGGGTGTTAAGACTCACCAGCAACAAGAAATGGTAAATTAACTTTCCTTGGTAGCTCTGTCTCTTTCTTGGCCAGATGGGTCTCCAGAATGAAGTGCTGTTGGCCTGAAGAATGAAGAAGTGACATTCCTCCCCAATATGAGGTATCACAGGTCCATCCAATGTTTGGACACAGCCTTTCTGGTCTGGTTCTCATCCCACCTGCAATGTCTTTGGTTTTTTTTTAGTGTGGTTTTAAAGCAATCTTAAAAAGAACATGAAG